CAGCGGATTCCAGTTGAACAAGACCACAATCCACCATAAATAGCAGTACTTTACCCTCCCCCACATGCTCTGATCAGCACTGATCAGAGTTTCTACAATCAGAATGGATCAGCACTGAGCTAGAGGTCAGGTGACTTAATCTGCATTGATGCAACTCCTCAATACAGTAGATATTCTCACAATGCATATACTCGTAATGCATAAATCTCATAATGCATGACATTTTCAGGGGACCAACTTGGTACGCGGGGATTTATGCATGGAACGTCATATCGAATAATGCATATCATATTTTGGCATTATGCATTACCAGATCTACAGATTTACCGGGTATTTACCTGTTCACCTCATTGTACCTGAGTTTTTCAGGACCTAAGTCTACCCTAATATACCCTGTGTGCCACGAATACACTGCTCAAGAGTAGTATCCAATTTTGCCAACACTTTTCTATCATTCTATGCCAGCTGCTGAGGAGAAGAAGCAGAAACCTCGAGATGGGCACAAGCCCTATGCACCTCGCGGAGGGGATGGAGCTGTGCAAGCATTTGGTGTGTCATCCACTCAGAGGCTCGCGGCGTGTCAACACTGCTTTTGCAACAACAATTGCGCAAATTGAGGGCTCATCTTCATGTTGTTCAAGTGAAATCAGCCTGACAAACTACTCTCAACTCTTTTTTCAGTAGTAACCTCTCTCCCATGGATGTCGATAGCCTGTAAATATCCAGTCTTTCCAGTTTTCGTCTCACTACATAAAGGACATTTCGAAGCATGACATTTTTTGGCTGAGGTCACGAATAGTCACATTTTGTGACATATTTCATCTTGCATAAATCTCACAATGCATAGAAAAAGTCAGGGACCTGCATTATGCATTGTGAGAATATCTACTGTACTCAGAATTTCTTACAGAATTCACACCTAGTCAAGTCATACATCTCAATAGATCAATTTTTAATGTATTTTATTAATGACATAAGATCTATTTTACTACATACAGTGCATATCAAAGGGGACAAGGAAGAGGGGATGGACAAGGGGGTAGGGACAAGGAAATGGGGAGGGACAGGGGAGGGACAGGGAAGGGGGTATAAGGAAATGGGGAGGGACAGGGAAGGGGGTATAAGGAAATGGGGAGGGACAGGGAAGGGGGCAGGGAAAAGGAAGGGGGCAGGGACAATGAAATGGGGAAGGGGGTAAGGACAAGGAAATGGGGAGGGACAGACAGGAAAGGGGGGAGGGAAAAGCAAGGGGGTACATGGAAATGGGGAGCGACAGGGAAGGGAAGGGAGGGACAGGCAAGGCGGGAGGGACAATGCACTTGTCGTCATCGTGTCATGTCGTGGTGGCTGTTAGCGAGATGGGATAGGATGAAGGAGAGTCAGGGGACTCACCTTTGTGTGACGACGACATCGTCGTTCGTCGTTTGGTTGCCACGTCGCTGTCAGCGACGTGGCACCTTGGTTTCCCATCAGCGGGGGCACGTCGTCGTGCGTTGACGTGGGCGTCCGTTGGCGTGGTCGTCGTCCGTTGACGTGGTGGTGGTGCGTTGACGTGGGCGTCCGCTGGCATGGTCGTCGTCCGTTGACGTGGTGGTGGTCTGTTGACGTAGGCGTCCGTTGGCGTGTTCGTGTCGTTGTTGGCATTGGCGTCTGTTGACGTGGCCGTCCGTTGACGTCGTGGGGCGTGTCGTGTTCCGTGGGCCGTGGTCATGGTGGTCGTGTGTTGACGTGGTCGTCCCTCGCGGTCCGTTTTCGTCGCCTCGACCTCGCCGGGGCTCGTTTGCTTGCTGACGTGGCGTTGCCGCGTTGTTGTTGACGTGGTTGTTGTTGGCGGTCGACGATGTTTGTGGGCGGTGGTGGCCACAGAGGACCGTGGTGACGTGGCGTGGGTGGGTAGCGGGCGCGCGTTTACGAGGAGCGGGGACGTTGGTGGTGGGAGGAGAGAGGGTTGTGTTTGGACAAGCGTGAAAGCCGTTGCCAAACAATTGTTTGTTTGGCAATGGGCTTGTGCCAAACAAACAACAAACTGGATTCCGGTTGCATTCCGTTTTTGCCAATCCGGGGACCATTCCTTGCTTTCAGTCTGAAGGGCCTGAGATCCACTGCAATTTTGAGTTGAGAATTAGAGATTGGCGCTGAATCGTGAGGTATGTTGTCTGGTTGGTTTTTCTCACCGATGTGCCCTGAAATCTCCGAATGTTGTTTGTCTGTCGCTGACAGACCTACGCAGTCAGTTTCCACTGTAAAGTTGTGTTGGGCGTCAGATGGGTCGTGAGGTAGGTTGCCATTTTGGTCGCAAGGGATCGGATCGGATCACGTCGCTAGATGTGTACTTGCACTACACTGCCTTGTGGTAGACCCCATGACTGTCCAAGGATACAATGAATCAGTTGTTTGATGCATAGAGACGGATCTGCGTCACATCCCATATTCCACTGGATGAAGATGCAATGACGTGATTCAGAAGGTCGAGGGGTGAAGACCATGTGTGCTTTGATAAACGAACCAAGGGAGGCTTCAGATGTATTGGCAGGGTAGAATCTTGAGGAAAAGGTGTGGAGGTGGCAACACCCATTCTGCTCGTAGTTAGGTCAGGCTTCTCTTTGCACAGAACACATTGATTTTGTGTACTGACATCCTCTACAATCTCTTCATGGCCATCTTCCCTTGCCTGAGAGCCTACACATTTGTGATCCATCCCTTTCTTGCGCTCTTGGGAGTACAATGGGTGTAGGTGGAACTTCTTCCAAAGTCCCCGGAAACATATCCAGAGTTCCCGAGACCTTCTGACTGGCTTGGAAAGAATCACAGGTAGGTCAGACGACAATTCTGAACATTCTGCATGAGTGAAAATGCAAGAAGGTGGAGAGTGTGAGGGGCGAGAAGTGAAAACTTTACGTCAAGTTGGCGCATGGGATTCAGAATGGGCGTCTGCAAGAAGCATCTGTTTGTTGATGTTCAGTGTCATTGTCTTGCCTGAGTCCCAAGAAGTATGTTCGAACTTCGGGAGTCTAAGTGGGCCTACGCAAGAAGTTAAGTGAGTTGCAGATCGGCGGAATGCATCAGAATGTGAAGTTACCATTGTGACCGGTGTCGCCAAAGTGGGGTTTCGCACTGTATGCTTCGTAGGTACTGGAAGTTGTGATAGATGGGGTGAAGGCAAACGAGTATGGGTGTGATGAATGTGTATGACATGAGAACATTCTTTTGCATTAACAAAAATGTACACAAGATAATGTAAATAACATTCTATGTATCTCCAGATTGTTCACATTCTTCAATACCATTGATGTTGTGTCCCCAAACAGGTAGTGTAGTGTTGTATAGTTTGAGAATGCTCCAGCACGCCACATGACCATACACCTGTCTTCGAGCATGTCAAGGAGGTCCTTGAGGAGATCTTCATCGACTGAGTATAAGGTGATTGGATTTGACTTGGAATGAAATACATTCACCTTTGAAAACATGTCATCCAGCATTTAGTTGGTGCACCATCCTTGTACCTGTCCACTGGGGTAACTGCCACATTCAATTGGAGTCAGACTAACACTTGAGGAAGCAGGTGCTGTGAGGGACTCTGGGTTAGGGAAGTGAGGAGGGGGATCCATGTATCTCTGGTGTAAGGTCTCCCACCTGAGGTCACAGGTGCAAAGTTCAGCTGTGTTTGCTTGTACCTGCTCTTCCTGCGATCCCAGATAATGAATGGGCTATTGTGAGATGGGAAAAAGATATATGATGCTGATTTCTTCTGAAATATGTTCAGACAGACATCAGTGACCCACCTTCCGAAAAAGGAAAAATTTGGAGAAGGTTCAATTTTTGATGATGGGCATGACCTGAGAGCCAGACGTCGCGAATGTCATTCGCTGCAAAATATGAAGAAAAGGTCCTACCTCATCCTAAAGTACCGTTTTATAAACGCTTTATTGATGACGGCTTTGCCATCGTATACGCCAATTCTGCGGAAGAAGCGTTAACGTTGATGAAATCACTTATAAAGATAGGTGAACCGCCGCTCGAACTTACATGGGAAGTGTCGGAACGCATGATGCCGTTCCTAGATATGCTTGTATACATTGAGCCAGCGACTGGCTACATCCAATGGAAACCATATCGCAAAGCACGAAACCATTTAGAACGCATTCCATTTGCATCTCACCATCCCCTAGACATAAAGAAGGGTACTTTACTAGGAGAGATGTCTCGAATGGCCACACTTAGCAGCAATGCTGAAAATTATATAGACGCTTTGAAAGATCTTCGAAGCATCTATCTAAGTCGTGGTTATCCTGAGAGGCTACTGAATGCTTGGCTTAAGGAGTATACGGCCGTAAGATGGAGAAACCGGTTTTCAAAGCCGGAGAATGTGTCTCGAATTAATAAAAACGTTCAAGACGACCCTTCGAAAATCTTACTCGTCCTTAAATCCGAGTTCAACCCAATATGGGAAGCGTTCGATATCCACGAATTAAGTCGTGTGATAGTTAACCATTGGACAGATCGTCTTGTCGATTATAAGTCAAGAATGTCCCAATTGCAGAGGAGCGGTCTCCAGGAAGAGGCAGGGTACGGGATCCCAGGATCCCCGCCTGTCGATGAACCTTTTGATCCAGTACTCGACGTCCCGTTAAGTCCCGTTCGGGCACTTGTGGATGTTAGGGGAACGGATTCACGTTCGAAGAAGGCATTGGCGATAGCTCGAGAGAGCGCGCCCTCATTCAACATTGAGGGGGTAGTCACTAGTCCCAGCTCTACTCCGGTAGTTACTCTTAGTAGTTGTAATGACGAACGGGGAAAGACGAAAGAGTACCTGGATTGGGATGAAATTTCCTTTGAGATCCTTCGACGAGTCTCCTATTACTCGAAGTCCCTTGAGTTCGTTCGCGTACTCGACGTGTCAGCAATTGGATTAACTACCGCGCGTTGGTTGGTATCTCGTAAAAAGTCGAGAAATCTCGCCGATATATTCAACCAACATAAAACGCACCTCCTCCATAGCAACGAGGAGGATGATTACGATTTAAACGATTCAGACACCGAATACGGTGGAATCGCGGCAATCGCCGACGTCATTTTAGACGAAGACGACCCCGAGGATATTTACGTTTGATAACAATACGATCTATCATATTAGACATTAGGTTCAAACCCTAAACCTAACCATGAACCCGAAATCCTAAGCCCTAACGGTTAACTACCAGACAAAAGCAAGGTACGCCCCCCGGCAATAAGGGATTCTCGTTAGGCATATGTCTAGTTAGAGAGTTATTTAATGTATACAAACGTCCGTGGGACGTAGATAAAACAATCTGATCATGGCGCCTATGGCGCCTAATGGATTCAGATCTATCAATAGAGACGGTAATAACATTGGAGTTATTAGTCTCCATGTAAGCAATTAAAACGCCAGAACGTAGCACGTGTCAGAACGTGCTCATTTCTGTTATATTATAAGACCAAAAAGGCACTCCAGAGCGGGCGACCTGTACTAGTAGTCTAACCCTTCGGGGGGTGGCGAAACTTACTAACTGCAGCGCGAGTGGGCACGCTAGAGGCTTAATAGCGGAGACGGTGTAACTTAGAATTAGCGCATGGATGCGCTTGGCACATACTCTGGACAGTAATAGTCTAGACTTGTGAAAGCTGGTGATCCCTGCCCTTCGGGGCATGCCGTACCATACCTACTGTTGGTGCGGTTGCAACCTATTAGCCTACGGGAGCAAACGGTCTGCGGAAAAACTCTAGTTAGTAACACGACGAAAATCATTATTCTTCGGAAAGACCTCGCGGAAAAATGCATAAGCACCCTAGGGCGCTACAGCATACATCACAAAGGCACCCTCTTTTTGCCGAAACTTAGGCACGTTGTAGGCTTATCTTCGGAGAAACGTTATATCGGACATACGGTGGTCCGCTCTGTCGGAGTAACTGCGGAAACACCTGCAGGCATGTCTTCTGACGTCTATTTGTAAAAATAGATATCAGCTATTTTTAGATCCCATCCGATCTAGCAATCTATGCATGAAAATGCACTGAACGCTACCAATCGAGTGAAATGGTTAGCGGTTTCACAAGGGATTCTCTTATCTATCGTCCGTTTTCACGGATCGATTGATTGTTATCAGTTCTTATCGATCGTTATCGATAAAAACGTGTTATTGGTGAAGATTAGAGTCGATGGGGGAAAATAAGTGCGACGTCGTCATACTCGTTCGCGAGCCTCTGACTTCTTAGTGCTTAGTACTCATAGTCGAGCATAATTTGTTCACGTAGATGCACCTAACACAACCACACTTGACCGTGTATAAAAGAGTCGCATTGCACTGACGAGGTACTAGTAACCGAAAGCTTGTCAGCTACAGCTGTAGCGGCAACCTTTGCATTCGCTCTAGTCCAAGTGGAGGATACTCTAACAAACCCTAACCCTAAGATTTGAGTTCGATCCAATTCGATATTACACGATGTAAGCCATGTACACAGTGCGGTTTTTAGTGTGGGTCAGCCTTGCAAATCGCCTGAAATATATCTAACTCGATTGATGCTCACACAAGCCACGCAAATCGGCCATAGTCACTGTGACTCGGCCTGATCGGAGTTGATTTTCACCGGGCATCACGCTTCAAGCAGGTGGCTGTGCCACTTGCAAACTTTGCAACTCCCACACACATCACGATGCATCACACGTC